AACATCAAACATACAGTTAGTAATAAACGCAGTTTATATCAGAGTTAATGTTTTGCATTCTCTTTAGGTTATATCAGATTATATTATATTTCTTCAGATTATATCAAAATCATATTCTATTTCTCCCCCTTTTTGACATCATCAAAAAGGTGAGTTTTCATTAAAATAAGATTTAAAATATATTCTATTTCTCCCTCTTTTATATTAGAAAAAAATTAAATTAATAGAGTCAAGAAATAAAACCTGAGTGCCTAATTCTTATAGGTTGACATCTTTTCCAGAATTTGTTGAAGCATGCACAGAAGAGAGTTGTTGACAAGTTTTTGTTTAGAAAAGCTTTCTCTAAAAACTTGTTGTTCTTTCTTCATAGCTTGTTGATCTTCTTGAATCTCACTAATGTCCCATTCTCAACGTACAAGAGTAGTTTCATAAGAAGAACCAGCTACAGCAACTTGCTTAGCCTTCTCAGCATCTACAACAACTTGCTTTTCTAGAATCTTCCTATGCTAAAATTCTCGCTTCTTCAGCTTCTTTTTGCTTCTAAGCAAGAAGTTTTAAGTTTCTTATCCTTTCTAGCTTGTCTTTCTTTCCTTAACCAGTTGAACTTCAGCTTCTAGTGACTTGAAAAGCGTCCAGATACAAAGTTCAACCACTACTGAAAGACGTTCCAGAAAGTCTCAAACTCCAGAGGATAAAGGTTCAACAGAGGATGAAGGTTTATTGACATGAACATACTCAGAGAAATGAATAGTGCTCAGAGGTGATGTGTTCAAAGGATAGAGGAAAAGGTTCAGAGGGATTTACATCATCTGGTTGCTTTGAAGAGGGAACTTCAGAAGAATTGGTTTACTGAGGAATACCAATTGAAGGAGGTGTAGGAATTGTTGAAACCATATTCTCTTTTAACGAAGCAGATACAGATGGAGAGGAGCTTTCAGAATCAAGACTTTCACTTTTCAGAAAGCTCATATATCTTTGAGATTCTGAGATCTTCAGAGTTATTCTTTCTCTGAGTGCTTTCCATTCTGACTTTTATCTTTCTTCATCTTGTTTCTTCAACATCAAAACATTATACTTCAGAACTATCAGAGTTTGATTTGACAGAACTTCTTCTTATTGAATCTTTTATCCAGATCTTCCAGATAATCCAAATCTTCATATGATCTACGACTTCATATTTGCTCAGATCTTTAGAAGAGCATCTTTGAAACCAATAGAAGGTAATGTGCAAAAAATGAATTCTGATTCTTCAGTCTTATGCATATGATAGTACTCCAGCTGGTTCTTTATCCAGAGCATCTGATACTTCAACAAGCAGCAACAACATATTCTGCTTCTGCAGTAGAGAGTGCTTCTTGCTATAACAAGGATCAGATTGCCTGACAGCTTCTAGAGGTGCTCTTGCGTTCAACTCTGTCTCCAGTAAAATCATCATTACAGAAACCTACTAAATTATATTCATCTGATTTTCTGTAACACAGAGCCACGTTAGTAGTACCTTTTGGATACCTCAGAAATCTCTTAACAGTTGTTAAGTGAGATTCTCTAGGATCTTATTAGAATCAAGCACATAAACATACACTAAAAAGAATGTCAGGTAGCAGTAAAATACAGAAGAGAACAACTCATACCTCTGTACAGCTTCTGATCTACCTTTTTACTAACCTCTTCTTTTCCCAGAGTGAACGTTGAATGTATGAGAGTCTTAGCTGACTACTCTCTGACAGATTAATCTTTTTTCTGCTACATTCTTCTTTTGAATCATAATGACTTCTTCAGCTTCCTTTCTTTTGAATAGAAACATATCTCCTATAATGTTTGTATCATCTTGAAAAATAGTTATGAATTCCAGATTCTTCCTTTGGTCTTCATCTTCTGATCATCCATCTTCTTATACCAATGATCACCCCTCTTTATCTTCTTCCAAACAACTTGTTTTCTGATGAACGCTAGTTTCGCAGAATAAGCATAAGAAAAAAAATTATGAGCTGAGGAAACTTGCTGACTTCTTGCATCATAAAAATTTATCCCTTGAATAGACACAATTGTTCATCACAAACTTATCATCAAACCAAGATGTATATCTAGCATCGATTTGACTGACAATCTTGTTCTTATCAATCAGCATCAGATCATCTGATGGTGAGTTCTTCTGTTAACCCGCCTTTGGTTTTTGATTTCAATCTTGCAACCAAATCAATCTCAAGTTCATACTTCAACTCAATCCCAAGAGTTCAGAAGAAGGTGAACATCAATAAATACAACCATGTATCAACAACTTCACTGAACAACTTTCCTTTCTGATATATCTTCAGAGATTATCAAAGCTTCACTTTATCTTCTGGAGATATTCTCTGTACCAGACTTTTTAGCCATAACTATTAGAGTTATGTTAGTTAGTCCTTCTTGTCATTGACATTCAGTCTTTGCCCATAAGATATTCATCAACAGATGATAGCTCAATCAATGACATCAAGCCCAGAAGTGTTTCTTCAGAGGGTTAGATACTGATATGGTTCAGATACTAGATTTCATTGATTTCCAAAATAGATTCTTCAGACTGTGAAGTTGCAACTCTGTTTTTTTTATATCAGATCCTTTGATGAAGTTCCATTTTCTTCTAATCAGAGTAAGCTTCTTCCAGAGGAACGCTTCAGATCATAGCATATTTTTGCTCTATATATATTCTTTGTTGCTGACACTTCAGAACCATACGTGTATAGATTCTCAGAGCCTCTGCAGTTGCACTGTTGAGTTTAGTACTCACAGAGTCTTCTGAATCTACTGAATCTTTATATTCTACGCACAGAGTCTTCTGTAGCTTCGTTCTGTAGCTTTTGTAGCTTAGCTCTTTTAGAGTCTTCTTTTCTTTTGAGTGTTAGATGGATGCATAGGAGTCTTTAGCTGGCTTTCTTCCAGTCAAATTAAACTTCTTCAGAAGCTCCTTCACATACTTCATCTAATGTGTGTAGATTCCCTCTGGAGTCTGACTGACTTGAATGCTCAGAAAGAGTCTTAGCTCTCCCATCATGCTCATTTCAACCTTTGCCTTGCCACAGGAGCATACGTCACTGTGTAATCAGTACTTTCTTGCTGACTTCTGATGACTTCTCCTTCTTTCCGCTAATCATCTCTTCTGGATGAGAAGATTTGATTCTGGAGAATCCTTTCAGAGCTAGTTTTCCAGAAGCAGCTAATGGAATGACATCTGGATTTGCTTCTGAAAATTTTTTAGAGCTTATCTCATATTCTTCATTTGCTTCCTGTAGCAGCTTTCACAACGGATCATCCATCTGATTTCTGAGAGAAATCTTCAGAGCACAGATAAACTAGTCTTCATGACTAACTTCCATCAGGCTTTATCTTCTGATTTTATTAGCATGAATCAAATGCAGATCCAGTCTTGACACAATTATCATCAAACTTAGATGCATCATATGACACAATCTAAATGACAATTTTGTTCTTACAATGCTGAGCTAACTCGTACAGATTTATTTCAACCAAAGTTGACAGTACATTTGCTTCTGAAAAGAATGTCAACTGACTTATTCATTATGATCAACACCAGTGACTTAAATCCCTTTTAAAAACAGATTGAATGACTTCTGTCATTGTATCTTTCTGAACAACTTGACTTCAGGATCCAATCAATATGAACTTCTGAGAAAGAATGTCTGATAACATCTGACCAATTACAGTTTGTTCAACTGAGATAAAATCTCAAGTTAACAGAACTTAATTGTCCATGCTACTTCTAATAAAATTTCAAAGTTCATCTTACATCATATCCATGATGAGTTAGTGAACTTCTTTACACGAAACATCTACAGATTTATTTGAAGCTTCTTAAGGGCAACAGCATTTTGATGCCTTGAATCAGGAGGATCATTGCTTCAAAATTTAAACTATCTCTGTTCCAGCTCTTTTCTGCAGACTTTATTCTGAAGTTCCTATGAGTCAAATTCATTATCCAACAATATTTCTTTACTTACTAAAGATAATTCCCAATGAGCTTTTCATGAGAAAGTCAAGAGTGGACTAATCCGTGTTTTTGAAAACATCTCATACTCACATAGAAATAATCTTTAGCAAACAAGATTTCTCGCTTTCTGATGATGTGATCTTTTTGAGCGAATACGTTGTATATCCAAATGTATTACAAGATAAGCATTCAACAGAAAACTTGTTATCTGATTAATCTCTCTTGTCACTACAAGAAAAACGATGGATTGCGACGGTTATTTTGACAAGTTACGACGGTTAAAACCACCACCAATTACATTCTACGATGGTTGTAGTACCGTCGCAGAAACGTGTGTCCACAAGCTGTTTAGCGATGGTTGAAAAAACCGTCACTCACAATCGTCGTTATATTTCACGACGGGCTTGAACTGACCTAAACTGGAGATAGCGACGGTTAAAGACCGTCGTTACTAGCCTTTTTATTTTTATTTTCATTGTTGATTGTGACGATTTAAAACTGTCGTGAACTCTATTTCACGACTAGTTGGAACTGACATAAATTGGAAATGACAATAGTTAAGTACTGTCGTGAATATCCTTTTGATTTTTGTTACCATTGTTGATTGCGACGGTTTAAAACTGTCGTGAATGTGATATCTTGACGGTTATTATTAATTTTTATATATTGTATTATATTGTTTTATAATATATTCTTTTATTTAAATTATTATCTACTAAAATAGTTATATTATTTTTTCTTTAAATTATTTATACAATAATATTTTTATTTATAGTTTTTTTTTTTTAAAATTTCTATCGCTTTTTAGCGTAGTAAAATTAATTCCAAAACTTAATATCAAATAAACATTATAATATCGAAAAAACGTGAGTTTCATAATCATGTAAAATGAAAGTTCCATAATCATGTCATGTAATACAAAAATCCGAAAACATATCAAATCATAATCTTATAACAATAAGTATCATTGTGCCAAAAATGAATAATTCTATGTGCAATTCAAGTATTTGTAAAACTAACAAGTTTGCAATGGGAAATCCATTCTTAGACTTGCATTCACCCTGTCAATATTTTCATCACAAAATTCAGTCTTCTTTCTTAAGCTACGGATTGTCATAACACCAGAAAGAGTCTCTGAAAAGTGATGAATCACCGGAGCTTTTATGATTAAATCAAGACGAGTCAATTCCCTAGATGTTGCAAGATAATATTTCTGCAAACCAGAACAATGTAATAATCAAAATAGGACCAAGTTTCAAGATAACATTACTCTATAGGAGTAGGTATATCATACCCTATGCCAGTTGTAGAGCCAGACCAGTGGAATTACGAGAAAGACAGTCTCCCAAGAGTTCTGGCATGCGACAATGAGGATACTGAATAATGATAAGTATGCTATCATTACAAAGTTTGTAAACATTGGAATTGTTATATCCACTCAAAGTATATCAGTAGATACCTAAACAATTCATAACAAGAGTAGATGGAGTTATCAAATTCAAACACTAATAAAGCATAAACCAAACATTAAAAGGGATGTTGAATGAAACTCACACGACTCAAGATTCTGCCAGAAGGAGTGGTATCAAAGAATGACATTGGTGCACGAAGGATACTTTGAAGCATTCCAACGAAGAAGCTTTGAGATGTCTTCAAACCCAAATACGTATAGATGAAAGCTCTTCCTGTAAGAACTATGCATGCAACAACAGCTATAGCAGCATAGACGAAAATGAAAGTAAAAGAAGGAATGCCAGAACCATCAGAAGTTGCAATTGCTAACCAATAGTCACCAGCTAAAAATGACAACACCCAACCAGCTGACATTGCTACTACAAGTGCTATTCCCCACCATCCGAATGCTTCTGTGAAATATTGTTTGTATACTTTAAGGCTCACATGTTCAATTTCTCTTCCCTCGTCTTCAATGAGCTTTGTTGCAGTTTTATCATGAAACTTAGATTGATCTTGAGAGGACTGCTTTTCAACCCCGCTTTCTTTTTCTTTCGATACAATGCAGGCGAGTTTTGGAGACTGAGAAGAATCATCATTGGAATTATCACTTGTTTCTAATATCTCCATATAGGATTCATGAGCTGCCACAAGTGCACCAAAGTCTAGGCCTGCTTTGAGAAGTTCATCATACTTTCCACTTTGCACTACTCTTCCTTCACGCATCACCTTTAAAGTTGATGTCAAAATATAAGCTAAAATATAATATCTAATACTATTGGTAAGATTAAGATAAGTCAGGACAAATTGAATTTAACTTCCATTTACAGAAAAACTCAATAATTTAGGGACTTGTGAGCATATACATACTATGATAGAGTCAACATTATGCAAGAAATCAACTTGATGAGTTACAAGTAAAACAGTTTTATCTTTGAGAGTTCCCATGATACATTCCTGAAAAAAGATGGAGAATCAGTTGTGATTTGTATTAGAAATTTATAATGACAATTCATTTATAATGGAAACCAGTATCATCTTGATTTATACTATATGTATTGTTTATAATCTGAAAAACCAGAACAATGTAATAATCAAAATAGCAGAACAATGTAATATTTCCAAACAACATTGAAGCAGGGACAATCTGAAAAAGGAAAATCTCACCAACAACGTTTTGACTCGTCTTGAATCACATAATATAACCAAACATTTTTTCGTTAATTGTGAAAACAATTCTAATGGACATGGGAGATTCGGAACCGAAACAGAAGCAGTCCAACTTCCTACAGAACAAACAACCATTATAGCAGGACCTTTAGAAGGATTTAATTTGAACAGGAAGATGCTACCAACATTAAGGTATACGTGTATGCATCGGGTCGTAAATCTGACTTTGCAACCTTAACTTCCTCAAATAAAACTTTAGCTTTAGAAAACATGTCATTCTGGCTGTAAACTTTCAGCATGATATTTACTGTCCCTATGTTAGGAGCACAATGGTCTTTCATAAATTCAAATATAGATACACAATCATCAATGTGCCCACCATCCATTGATGACCTAATCATGCCGGTGAAAGTAACCTCCACGGGTCTAGCGAGAGGAAGTCTTTTTATCTTCTCAACCTACAAGCCATATTTCAATGAAAAAAAATACTTTAATCAGGGTTTTGCGAGTATCTGAATGACAAATTTGGAGTTTAATTGAAAAAGAAAAGTACCTCTAGAATAGCATCTTGCCATCTACCATAGTTGCAAAGGTAACATGCTAGCTCATAATATACACTAGATGTTCCCATAACGCCCTGTCTTTCCATGTCCCTGACAACTTTCACAGCTTCATCAACTTTACCTTCCTTCCAAAAAGTTCTCACCAACACTAAGGAAGAGAGGAAGTATATAGCAGGCCATCAGAATAACAGTTGCAAATGATATGAAAAGTAAAACACTACCTTTATATATAAGGGCTTCTGGAACTTCCCCACTGCTCCTCATCTTTTGAAATAACTCATGGACAAGGTCATAGTTGCCTGATTGCAGCATTACCTTATAACAAGCATCACCTGTAAGACTTGATCACATTTTCAAAAAAATTAATACCATAATAAATCAACCAAATAGATTTTTCGAGAATAGTTCTCCCAAAACAGCTTATATTGTACCATGTTTAGTTTTTTGTTTGCGGCATAAACAAAGATGACAACATAATAACTATCAACTCAGAATAGCAGTTATCAATTTGATTATGTGTGTAGCCTTGTAGTGAAAAGTAAGAAGAGCCAAGTTATTTAGTATCTATTTTTTTTCAAGATAAGTTACTTGTTGTCGATATTGTAATCCTGTAATTACCTCAATCGCAAGTCCATCAGTAGCTCCATTAGGTTTCAGACCACTTTCCCTCAGTTGCTGAAAGACCCATGACACAGCTTTCCATTGCTTTGATGGAACACAATCATTAAGTATCTAACAGTAATTGAAGAAACCCAAAGATTTAATCAATCTGCAAAATGTTATTCTAAAGAAAGTTATATAAATGTTGTGGCCACCTTGACCAAGTGTGACAGCAATGTTGTGATATGCAGCCATATCAGGATATACATGAATGTTTCCCGGGACAAGTTGAGAGTAAATCAATACAGCGGCATACAACAACAATTAAAGACGAGTCTTTAGATGAAAACAAAAACAAACTAAGCACTTGATTCTTACGCGCATCAAATTGAAAATTTGAAGAGCTTCATGTGGCCTTCTTGCCTTCCCAAGAACTGCAAGAAGTTTTATGTACACAAACCTACAAAATCATAATTAGTTTCATCAGAAGAGAGAACCGAATATGCAAAGCACTAAGCAGGTAAAACAATAACAAAAAATCTGAATAATAAAATGCATAATATTTGGTGGCTTTCAGAAGGGAAAAAACACCTGTTTTGAAACTTTCTGCGATCCTTACAATCGTACACCCATTGAACCACAGATAGAGCTTGCTTCCAACAAGCTCTAACACCTAGCATTTCAAGAATCATCATTTAGAGATCAAAACAAGAAATAAATCACAAAGTAGTTCACATCATTTCATTAAATATGGACAATGACATGAAAACTTACACTCTAAAACTTGAAGTACCCAAATCAAAAGATAATAACAACCCATCAAATTAGAATTAACTCAAAGCTATAAGAGATTAAATATAAAGTAATCAGATCAAAATGACCTCAGATATAACAGGTGCAACAATATATGAAAATTCTTACACATTATATTACCTTCTTTCCAGGCCTAACAAGCCTCAATGTCACTTCAGCAGCAGTATTTGCTGTAGCAATTACATCAGCTGCACGTCCTGTAACAGGCCCCTATTGAAGTACATGTGTGTGAGCCATAACAACAATAAACCCATCAATATGACACGCCAAATCTCTGTAAAAATCAAAGATGCCATCACTAATACCCTACAAAAAACTACTTGCATATGCACTGCAAGTGTTATGTTGTAGTTTACCCATTAAACTCAAATCTGTGAGACAATTACAACTTACATGGAGTTAATCCAGGAAATTAATTGAATCTGTAAGAATGCTTCAAATATACTAAATAATCTTCTGGATTGCAATCTCTTTGGCAGAAGTTGCTAAGCGGCAGCAATAAAACAATTAGCTGATCCGTGCAAGAAACAACTCGACACATCTCTACCATTACAATGTATCTCCTGTAAAAGATGTTTTAAAAAATCAGAGTGAATGCTATGAAAAGAGAAGATGTGAGGAATTCAGGGAACAACATAATACAGTTAATAGCTAATATACAAAACAGAAGGTCACTCTGCTCTAAAATTGAAGCCTTTAAACAAATGAAATAACCATTAATTATAATCAGCTAAGATTGTTGAGATGGATGAACTAACAACCAAATCTTAGCATCCAATTCAAACTAAAATTCATCTATTAATTCTCCATGCAGTGGAAACTAAGAACTTCCCAAAATTACAGAGTGTACTTGCTACAGGCTTTTCTTGAGAATGGAGATTCTGAAGACTATATAGTAGATAGATCCCATGATTTGAATCATACTACATTATTTAGAATGGAGATGATGTCTTTGTTTATATGAATGAGGTTAGATGGAGAATTGATTTGCAATTGAAAGGTTGGTAAATGGAATTTATGCTACTGTTAGTAAAAGGTCAGCAATTTGAAATATGAGGATGCGTTAGGGATATGTTGTTAACTGCTAGCTGCTAACTTGAAATGTTATTAAATTTGGATTAGCTCACTTGGCCCAGTTACTGTGACATAATAGCCTAGTTTGAATGCCTGGAAATTCCACCGCAGGACACGCTAGGTTGGCAGCTGACTCCTCGTGACCTTATGTTAACTTGGCTAACTACAACTGGAACGGTCCAATTCTAAATGTGTTAAAGGTTAGATGGTCAATAGAATTTATGATGAATCATAACCATAGTGCCTTCACAAAGACCAAAACACCCATTTATACTTAAAACAAACTTAGACAGCAGCCTAAATACCTATTTTAAATAGCAACTTCCAACTAGCATGTTTAAACTACTCTGCAACAACTCTTAGCACATAACCTAAGTAGAGACCACAACAAATTCTTGGACATAACAATGGTTATGCGAGAGATGCAGCAGACTGGAACACTGAAGGTATTTGGCCCATCAATGAAACATCAAAAAAAGGGGTGGGAAAGAGACATTATGAAGATGTTACTTACTAAAGCAATGTATCAATTGTAGCATATCATAATTGTAGCTCTGCTAATTTACTGTTGTTAATTGTAGCTGCTAATTGAACTCATCAAGAAAAATGTCGCTGCCGCAGAGAGGCAGTCCGGCGAGGGCATCCGCCAGCCAGTGGCCAGAGTCGGCGGTGGATCCACCAAAAAGAACTTCATTTGCTACGCTAACAGGGCCGCTGACAGTACTATTTC